TAATACCAGAAGGTAGCATGTTCCAAATTGACGGAGCTGCATGCACAAATGCTCGATCACCAAGAGTCTTGGCTCTAGTTTTTGGGATAAAAAGTAGTCCCTGATCATCAGATCTCAGTTGATAACAACAGTTCGGTTTTTCTAACAACAGTTCCATAATGTAGCCTGGCGCCATCCCGTGGAGAGCTTTATATACCAGAAGTGCAAGTACCTTACCATGGCATCACCTTTAGGTTTAGTATATATACACGAACTTGCAGTTTCGACCCCTGGATTCGTAGCTCAACTGGTTAGAGCGCGGTACTACTACACGAGCGCGGTACTACTACACGAGCGCGGTACTACTACACGAGCGCGGTACTACTACACGAGCGCGGTACTACTACACGAGCGCGGTACTACTACACGAGCGCGGTACTACTACACGAGCGCGGTACTACTACAAACTCATGCCTGAGTTCTCAAATGTTACTGAGTGTACTTATAAAGGGAAATATAATTATAAAATTGCATATTTCATGGTTCGAACTCTGCATGATCACACTGTTGAAAGATACACTAATCAGTGTACCACCCATATGTGCAGGAGTGTTTATAAACTGCCAACATTGTAAAACGTCCCGGAGTATTATCACTCAAAAACTTGAGCAAAATAATAATAATAATGCGCCCACAGACACAGTGACTCTGAAATTCTGAGTATGAGAAAATATACTAATTTTTTTAGTAAAGCTTCAAATTTACTCAGTGGTTTGAGTACAACCTTGTCCTCACAACAACGAAAGCATGCATAAGTGCAAAAAGTGCAATGATAAACAAGCGAAATACTTTGATGTTCTTATGCTTATGTTGTTCTCACTGTGTCCTCACCACAACGCAAGATAAAGCACGGGCATAAGCAACAACATAAGCATAAGGAAAAGAACGCAACGTTTTGATATATTTTTATGCTCATGTTTATACTTATGCTGCGTCGTAACGAGGACGGTACATAATAAATTAATATGTTTAATTTAATTAATTTAATTTATTAACTTTGCCAGATTTAAACAACGTTAACACAAAAAACTGGCAGGGCAATCGCAACAGCTTGCGCCAGTTACTGCGATCCCTAAATGTTAGACAAATACACTATATACGTACATAGAAAGAATCAATTACTAACGAACTATCAGATGCAACTCTTTTCACATTGCGACCCGCAGAACCACTTCCATTTTTGGAAGCTGAGTCAGAAGACGTTTGAAACCCTCACAATCCTAAACCTTCAGCAAAACCCTGAATAGGCCCCATAGATACCAATGTAGATATTGTGTCTTCGTCTGACATTGCATGTTTTGGAAAGAGTTAGTTCGTTATCCTCAAGCAGTATTCCTTGTTATATCGTTTCAGTAGTATCTTATGACTTGCCTCTGAGGACAAGGAAACAACTCGTTCCTATATTATCGTTATGTTTGTTGTTGTTAAGTTTTAAAGGGGCTGCAGTAATTGGCTTGCGCTGTTGCAGATTCCCTGCCATGTGCTAATAATTAATATTTGTACAAGGGCTAAGCTATTAAATAAATAAATAAATAAATAATTTCACTCAATATTTTGAGTCACTGTGAGTCAAAATGTTTCGCAATGAAATGCCTTCACACATTATTTTATAGGTATTAAAGTGGTTTAATGGTAATAAAGATTTGTTGGAGAAAACAAAGCGACAGGTAACAAATGGACTTGCATTTTGGGCACGAACAGGCTATTAACTCAGCCTGGCTCACCTCTAAACATTCCTTTATTTCCTGCGTTTCCAACATGCAAATGTTATCAGTCAACTTAGCATGTCATTAGGTGCATCCAACTATACAGTCAACTCTCGTTATACATATATGGGGACTGTCATTCAGTCAACGTCAAACCTGGAGATAATCCCAGCCTTTCTTGGATCCTAAGGAGCAAATAATTTCTTTGAAAAGGCAGTGGTCAAATTACATTTTGCAGGACTTGAAGTATACAAGAGAGCAACAGCAACTAAATGGTCGAATAACTCGTATATAGATATTCTAATGCGAAGTTACTTTTGTCCAAAGTTGTTAATTGAATAAGAATGATATACTGTAAGCAGCATGTGGCCGGGTTTAAACGGGAATTAAACCCAAGGTTTTTTGTTTAACGAATCTTCAGTCTGCTGATTGGGTTGTCTTTTTAATGACCGGGCGTGGCTTGGGTGTGGAACAAGCATAACTTCCTGTAATCGTTACTCTTTAATTGAACTATCCAGTAAATCAATTAAAACACGCTATTTATTATCACATGCACACTATAATGTACATAGGCCTAATGCTGAAGAAATTATTTTATTTAATCTTGAGTTTTAAAGCAAAGGCAGTTTTTGTGCGATAATCAACATTTGAGGAGAACATTATGAACACCAAACACAATGCTTACAATTGCAGAAGTATAGCTGATAATGATTAATTGATTATATAAGGTTGTACTGGTAAAATTTGGTTATATAGTATAATATAGAAAATACTCTTTTTTTCTTGAATGATATTAAGGTTGAGGAGGTGGTACTTCTTCAATCACAATACGAGACATCGACTGCCAACCAGTATAACCATCTCCGAGAGTAGAACCGTAACACTTGCCTATCCAGAATCGCACACGTATGTGACCTTTAGGAACTTGGTTACAGTAGCCTTCAATATGGCGGTGACGAAGGGGGTTGGCTTGCGTTGATGCAATGTAAACAATTCCTTCAATAGTCGCTGGTTTTGTACATTCTGCCCCATCAAATGTAAAATACCATCGATTGCAAACACTATTGCCCCTAGAACGTATGTTTCCTCCATAGAACACACGGAGTGAGGTGTTGTCATATTTTTTGTTGAAAATACAGTTCTATATGAACAGAACAGACAAAGGGTTAGGATAAAGTTAAGATTAGGGCAAGGATTAGATTAGGCTTCATAGGGTTCGGATTAGATTAGGGTTAAGGTAAGGTTTAGATTGGATTAGAAATAGATAGATACAATTTTATTTATATAGGGTAATTCTTTGAGTATAAAAACACTGGTATCAATGGAGTTAGGATTAAATTACGGTAAGGATTAAATTAGGCTTCAAAGCGTTAGGATAGATTAGATTTAAGGTAAAGATTAGATTAGATTAGAGTTAGGATAAAGTTAGGCCGTTGGTTTTGAGTATGATTAGGTTTGGATTAGTTAATTAAACGATCGACTGAAAAGGTTAGGATTAGAACTAAGTGGGATTACGTTAGAATTAGGATTGGGGTAAGCCGTAAGGATCATGATAACAATAATAACTGTAGTTCAAGAGGGTGGCACATGAAAGCGATAGGCTAATAAACTTGTGTCCCGCAAACCAGACTACACTAGGATTAGGTAAGGATTACAATTATTAGGGTTGGAACTAGGATTATCTTAAGATTTGGCCTACCTTTGTTGCAATGGTTAATTAATTAAAAACTACATTAGAGGAAGACGTGCTACCGGACACTAAAGTACTAGAACTTTGGAATCAGTTTCTCAATAAAATGTTATTTAATGTAAATCACAACATTTGAGGGAAGTCGGTTCAAATACTCCATCTTGGACTTTCCCCATTAACAAGGCTCAGTCGCTTGCCTTTTGAAAATGCACTCGGACTTTGCATGAATTCCAGATAAAGTTTTTTGTCTCGTATTTGAACTGTTACTTAATAGATACATATAATCCGTAATTTCTTAAACCTGTATCAAGCCAGTGTCTTTTTCATCCTCTCTCTTCCAAACACACTGTTTCCAATTTGACTTGACAAGATCTACGTAATCATTTCCTCTCTCTCCCGGCTCTCCTGTCGCTCCTGCAAGACCAGGTGACCCAGGTTAGGCCAGGTATACCATCTCTTCCGGGATTTCCTGGAATCCCAGGGATACCTGGGATACCTGCAGAACCACAGGTCGCCTGGGAAGACTAATAAAAATTGCAAAGATTAGTTTAGGATATAATAACGCAAATACCAATAGAAGCTATCCCGTGTAGGCCAGTATAAGTAACGCAGTTTACTTTAGGCTTCCTCCTGTAGTTTATATAACACCGGCGCGATAAGGACTGGTAGACTGGACCTCTAGGGAGAACTGATAGAGCTGTCCAATATAACTAACTAAATGTTCGCTTTAGTCTTAATTACCAGTAAATGTACTGTACATAAACGTTAGTGCTTACAGTAGATGTCATAACACGACAAACTTACCGTAGTTTTACTTTGACTGTTGACCACTGAAGTCATGTCAGCCATAAAGACAATCAAGAGGAAAATCACGAACTTAGACTCCATTGTAATATATCCAACTTTCCTGTCGAACCTCGACTAGAACTGATCCTACTGCGAGCCTTTGCACAATATTTTAATACTCTCCCTTTTTAACCACTCGTATTACACCACGCCCATGCAGTTCAATATTTTTCTCTCATGTTTTCTGATGCAAGAAAATAAGATATTTCTTTTAATTTATCAGAAGCTATTGCCATATAGAATGAATGTTTGACTCGCTTCATTTACCCATTTAGCCAAAAACTAATTGCTAAACCGACTTTCATAGAAACATTAGCTTTAACATTTTTGTCTGAAAGCATTGTGGTCATAATTGACAGCTTCTAGAATTATTCTTTAATTCTGTAACTTTGATCAGTAAAAACTGTTCAATTTTACAAATTCCAACTCGGATTACATTATATTCACATATTTTCTCTACTGTTTCCTTATTCAAGATAATTTGGAAGTTTTTTAATTTGTTTTTTTTGTACTTGTTGTGCAGAAGGTTTGGGTAAACTTGTTGGCCTCCCCTTTTTAGCAAAAAATTATTCATAAATTAAGGTTTTAAAACACGTTTTAAACCGTTGTCGTCATAATTGAGAGTTCGAATTTTTTACATTTAGTCAACAAGTATTTCTGTTTAGTTATTACAAAAGAAAACGCTGATTGTTTGAGGAAAAAACACCTTCTCTATAGTAGTCTAGGACCTGTATATGAGTTTGTATGCATTTCATTTAGGACAGATAATCTCAACTGTTTTAGGGTAAGTTGACCATGACGGTCAACATGGTAACGCTGCCCGAACCCCAATCCGGGGCGAAACGTCCGAAACTGACCACACCCAAAAACGACGCCTTCGCCATACTGCTATCTACCAAACCATAAGAGCTTTGGCTATTCTGAGGTGCTTATATGGTTCAGAGATAGTACTTTTGGGGGTGGTCATTGGTAAGTGTGAAATGCCTAGCACTAATATTTCACAAGAAAATGGCCATGCAATAATCATAGTTAAACGTCAATTTGTGGCTTGCAAATTCAGATAAACAGCAGTGGACTTACATTACATTTTTCCCTAAATCTTTTTGATAGAAACATAAATGGTACTTATTTAAATATATTATCACTGGTTTGGTGTAAAATAGTTAATATTTTCTGACCGAAATAATAATTCGAAATGTGCCTACCTCCTGCAAATGGACGAATTTGGCCAAGTTCTCCACTTTACTCCGCTGTTTATCGGCGATCTCGTCGACATCCTACAAAAAATGTAAATCATCTCAGACATAATGGTATCAAGAACATTTTAAACAAGTTTCAACTTGGTTTCAAGTAGATCATACCTGTTTAACCATCGACAAGGTGAATCCACAACTTTGTCCAAATTCGGCGCCATTTTGTCATCCCATGTCGCTTGTTAACAATTCAGCCTTGTTACTCTTCCATCCAAGCCATTTCCATTCCACAATAATAAAATTAACCCTTTATAACAGGAGGAAATTTTATCACCCTGTGAAATGTTGTTTACGAGTCCTTCGAAACATTTGTACAAATCTCGCGTGGTTTAGCAACAGGGAATGTGACAGGGGGGAGGGGGGGTTGACTCTTGAAAAATGAAAGGAAAGCCCACACAGTATGGTAAAACCAACAATCAACATTTAATTTGTATGACTTTTTCATATTAAAAATAATAATATGTATATATTTGTCGCTACAAGAAATAAAACAAACATTTGTATGATTGTATTTAGCTTTTAGTCTATTTCACGCAGCCTTCTTCTATCTTCGTGAAATAATTCACCTCCTCCTGTACGGAATGTTTTGAAAGACTCGTGAGCAAAATTTTACATGGTGATAAATTGGCGTATTTCTTATATTTTGTTTAGATTTTTTAGTTTCCTCCTGTTATAAAGGGTTAAATTTATTATTAGTGGAATGGAAATGGCTTGGGTGGAAGAGTAACAAGGCTGAATTAATATTGTTAACAAGCGACATGGGATGACAAAAAGGCGCCGAATTGGATTTACCTTGCCGATGGTTAAACAGGTATGATCTACTTGAAACCAAGTTTAAACTTGTTTAAAATGTTCTTGATACCATTAGGTCTGAAATGATTTACATTTTTTGTAGGATGTCGACGAGATCGCAGATAAACAGCGGAGTAAATTGGAGAACTTGGCCAAATACGTCCATTTGCAGGAGGTAGGCACATTTCAAATTATTATTTCGGTCAGAAAATATTAACTATTTTACACCAAACCAGTGATGATATATTTAAATAAGTACCAAATATGTTTCTATCAAGAAGATTTAGGGAAAAAGGTAATGTAAGTCCACTGCTGTTTATCTGAAGTTGCAAGTCACAAATTGACGTTTAACTATGATTATTGCATGGCCATTTTCTTGTGAAATATTAGTGCTAGGCATTTCACACTTACCAATGACCACCCCCAAAAGTACTATCTCTGAACCATATAAGCACCTCAGAATAGCCAAAGCTTTTATGGTTTGGTAGATAGCAGTATGGCGAAAGCGTCGTTTTTGGGTGTGGTCGGTTTCGGACGTTTCGCCCCGGATTGGGGTTCGGGCAGCGTTACCATGTTGACCGTCATGGTCAACTTACCCTAAAACGGTTGACATTATCTGTCCTAAATGAAATGCATACAAACTCATATACAGGTCCTAGACTATAGATATAATACCTGAGTTGGCACATAAGATGGTCTTTGAGAAAATGGGTTTTCGTTTTTATGGCAAAATTGGAACCAGAATTTTGTGATATAGTTGATAAAGTCTTGTATCGGTTTTTACTGAAGGTACTCGAAAGTTTTGATAGGCTTAGTATGCTTAAAGATAAACGTGTAGCAAGCACTGTGTGTACATCAGGCTAATTTTGAATATCTGGACCGCTCTCGTAATGTTAATTTCCACTGTTATGCCACAGAATACTCCACAGAAGTGCATCTCCATTGTTTTTTGCGTAAGCTCTATTCGTCATGATTCGTCACTCAGCAAGTACCGTAAACAGAAGCAGTCCCCCCCCCTGGAAATACTAAAAATGGCGCATGTCCACGGGGGTGACTTGCTGAGTGACGAATCATGACGAATAGAGCTTACGCAAAAAAAAACAATGGAGATGGACTTCTGTGTAGTATTTTGTGGTAATACTAACTTTCTGAAGAAAGAGGGGGTCTGGTTTCCCCCCAGAAAAATTGTATATATTTGAGGCTCCAGGACTGCATTTCTTGCGAGCAAATTTGCAAACGAATTGCATCCAAATTGATTGTATTTTTCACAAATAGTAGTTACGACTTTACACATTTAACGACTTTATTACGTAAATTTTACATGAAAGTGTCAAACTTTTAACTTCAAGTTTACTTGATTTTTCTGCATGACCTTTCAAAGCTGGGGGGGGGGGCTATACAACCCACTTCTTATCCCCCTCCCTGCCCACTCGTCCCTGAGCGAAATATATGTAAAGTTCTATTTGACTGAATTATTATATCATGCGATGTGTCATGCTGCAATCATTTCTTGTAGTTTATCTTAGTAATGATGAACAAGTATACAAAAGATGCAACTTTGATAAATCCTTTGCGAAACAAGAGACCTGGGTTTGCGGGTGGACCAGATGTTGATAAATAGTAAGCCTACTGTATTCCTGTATATGCGAGTGTACTTATATGTGCTGATTACATGGAGACATTTCAGCCCATGATGAATTTCAAAAAGCTTAAATTTGTTAACCAAGCTGAAATTGTTTCACGATTACATGTACATGCATGGCAACTTCCAGCCCGGACTGAGTAATTAAAATTTCAGCTCAAACCAGGGTGAAATCTCAGTCTGAATTATTTAAATTAAAATGTTGTTTATCTCTATTATTCGATATCTGAGAGATTTTGGTTGCATTTTGCACTCCAAACTATACTCTGACTGCCCTTGGCAATATCAAGATCACTCAAAACCTTTAAAACTTCTACCAATCAATATTTGGTCGGCGACGAATACTTTTATACGGTCAATCCCTGTTGTGACATCACCAAAACTACAGTTAATGAGAGAAAAAAGTTATCCAAGATGACTGACATCTCATTACTTCAAGTGAAAATGTTTCAAGAACTAAGCAAGATATGAAAAATTGGTAACAGAAGTTAAAATATATGGCCTCCTCCGCAGGCCTCTCTATGGGTTTTAGCCTGCGAATGGGTTTTGATGCCTGCGGAGGAGGCTAGTTAATATATAGTTTCAAAAGTTCTTTTACATGAGAAAATAAAAAATTATATTGCCATTTCCCTTTAAGGCGAGTTGATATGTGAGCCCGGGGAACCGGGCTGAAACTCGGCCTCAGCTGAGTTTCCATATAATCAGCCCCTTATTATTTTTATTAAATTTCGTCTCTCGTCTGATCCTATCACTATATTAAAGATGATAAATGTAGTCTTGCTAAATTGGGAACCTGTGAATGGTCTTATTTCAGGTATCAAAATCACCCAGCTCGCCATGAGTTCCAAGCGGGATTGTGCATTTGCATGGAGAAAACCTGTAGTAGTAATTTACTGTTCTATCGGCTAAGTGATATTTCATTATTTCTAGTGTAAATAAACTGGTTGAAGAGAGCAAAGGAGATTGTGATTTTTGTAACTACCAAAGGTAGGATTGAGAGCCTGTTAACTACATGTATATTATTCCGAGGAGGAATATAAGGCATGTTTTCCAAATTTTAAGGCCCGTTTACGATACTGGATTCCCCTTGTTACGTTTTCGTAGCGCATTGCGTTGTGGTTATAGTGGTGTCACTGATATTCAAGATGGCTTATTTCTTGTCCTGACCCGTGCAAGAGCTTTTAAAAAAGCTAGGGTCAGGTGCGCGATAGCCAACAGTAGGGGTGCACCGGATTTGGAATTTTCAAATCCGGCCGGAACCGGATTTACCGGATTTGGACAAAAATTCCGGCCGGATTTGCCGGATTTGAGATAAACCGGTAATGGGGACAATTGGGGATAAATCAGTATTCAAAATGACGGTTTATGTTTTTTACTATTTTTAGTTTGTGTCAGTTTAGATTTTTGATTGTGTTTAAACCTTTTTAAACATCTTTTTGTTAATAACTTAATATTTTATAATAATATAAGTATTTTTTTAAACTTTAAAGCTGCCAAATTGATGGTTTATCCCATTTGAAATCCGGTGCACCCCTAGCCAACAGCAAAACATTCGCGAAAACATTCAATATTTTCATTCGAGGCCGCTATCTTTATCAGTGATCCACTATAAACACAATGCAAAGCGCTACGAGAACATAATAAAGGAATCATCAATTGCGATTTCTAGTGCGATTTTCTCCTTCTGATGCATGTGAATGAGTAGATGAGTTACGAGTGTTCGGAGTACGTGTACCCGCATCTGAACATTCACAACTTGTCCACTCGTTGACATCCATCAGAAGAAGAAAATAAATTGCACCTAAAAGGTAAACATTGCAAGTGTAAACGAACCTTTAGAGGAGATAAAACTGTTGTTTTAGCCGCATCTTTAAATATTCGCTGAAGCAACGGAGCAGGGTCATGGCGAAGGAACTAATTCCGCTCGGCCATGTACAAAAAAAAAGGAGATCGCGATTAGCAGAGTGAAAAGTCCATGAATGATCGCATTCGCGCGTGCGTGGCTATGTTTTAAGCACTGAGCTATACTATATTACTGGAGGACCTGCTCGGCATCATCAAGTGAAGCCGAAAACATGGCGGATCTTACGCCATTTCCATGACAACACTTCCGAAATTTTCATGGTAACTGCCACTGACCAACCGCGATCCTAAGCTTCCGACGATGTCCTTAACCCCCCTGGTTTTTGCACAGAAATATTAAAGATATTTCAAGTTTTCTGTTGTTTTTGAGCTAAAGAATCTTAATATTTCCATCGCATATTACTTGTTTTACAACGCGGAGGAAGGATGCGGTTTGGTTCACTTGTGGAATGTGGATGCAGAACTTCACTGCAAAGAAAGACTAATTCTTTCAGGTAAGATTCAGGAAACTTTTTTTAACTTTCTAGGGACTTGCATGGTCATATCACTCGAGATATTATGATCACTCATGTCAAAAACTCATAATCCCATTAATATATACAGCAGTGAGCAAATATTTCAATAGCAGACATACAAATATTGTTAATGAGTATCTAGATACTGTGTGCATGAAATTATGTTGTTTTGTGTCAGCACTGGCCTTTGTGATTTTATTGCCAGACTGCCAGTTTTTAATACTTGTAATTTATATTGTGGTTGTTTTTACATGTTTATATGGTGTGAAATGTTTATACTTGCCCATCATATAGTGCAGGATTAATATATATATAGATAAGCACAAAATCACGAGACCAGAAAGATTTGAGTACAGGAGGCCCACCTACATGTGGCAATATATGCCTGTCCTGATGAGCCCTAAAGACTGTCTTTTTTGTTTTACACTGCCTGTGTAATGCCAGACGATTTTAAGAGGAGACTGCTCACTGCTGCCACTCAGTGGGTTAATTATACCATGGATAATAAAATAAATGGATAGGAAACTAGCTGACGTGACCTAATGTTTTTACTGGGATTGATGGCGTGGTTGGATGCCTCAACCTAGTTGAAAATCAAATTCTCAAAAACGGCATGTTTAGCAATAATACAGCTAAACATTTTAGTCAAAGAGCAAATAAATGTAACCACGCCATTCTACGATGAAAACTGTAAGTATTCCCAGTCAATTTTAGCAAATATTTCAAGCACTAAACAGTGAAAAATACATCGCAAATTTCGTTAAAATTTGTGACGCCAATTTCGTAGCTACAAATGTAAAAAAATACAAAACAAAGACGAAAAACATTTACCTTGAATACTTTGTCGTGGCTTAGGCATGTTTTTAAAACAATTAGACCAGTTTACGCTTCAAGATCACCTTTTTAAAGTGGAAAATATAGCAAAACAACAAATATGCCGATAACTTTGGTAACATTCGCAATACGCGTGACGTCACGTTTTTCAACAAGGATGCAGTCAATGACGTCAGAAGTTTCCAATCCATTTATTTTATTATCCATGATTATACTATCTGCCAATGAGCAGCCCCTGAGATATAATCAGCCCATTATAAAGCAGCAATGTGCCCAAATGTGCCCATACTCACTTTGCCATTGTCTGTTCAGAACTACATACACAGTATGATGTGATAGTTACATGGCAAGAAAAAAAAATGTTGCCCACAAGCTGTTGGGATAAGTGAGTCACTATTGATGCACTAACGGCCACTAACCAGGTAAATTCAGAATACGCTACTTCTAACATTGGAAGAGGTGATGTCTGATTGGTCTGTGAGAAACTATGATGAAATTTGCTAATAATAGAATTGCATTCCTGAATATGGAAACATGACACTTAATTTTGAAGCTTGGGATCATTATGGTTTTGGTAAAAACAGATCATATATAGCACCATAGTGCAACACTCTCCCCTTAACTAGTAAAATTGTCTGACATTAGATAGATTAAAATAATACAGTAAGGCATATCAAGACTGCACATTGCACTTGAAGGGTTAATATATGTGTATTTATTATATAGTAGAGAGTGAAATACTGAAAAATACACAGTGAGATATTTTACATATCTTCACTAGTGCATGAAGATATCGATCACATGACTTTTTCTAATTAATAATAATATACATGCATATGATATTTTCATGGTGTATAAAGATGTAATATAAATGTATCATGATAATAATGTCATCTTTTATTTTGCAGAAATTATCTGTTTAATGCAACCCAAGAGATGGCACAGGCATCAACATGGAAAACAACATGCAGAACATCAAAATGAAGTTATAATTATAATACCATAACAACATAATAAATAATTATATGATTATAATAACTTTATTGAAGTGTAAATTTTTATAACAGAGCACAATCGTGCTCCACTAAATTAGGAAGAATTAAAATTATACATTTTTTAATTGTTTACTGCTAGTTAATAGAGGCTAAAAAAAGGTCAAATACTGTACATCCTTCCAGAAAGTATGCCACTTCGACTATGGAGCCTCGTTTTTGTGTATTTGACATGTCTCAATCATGAAAATGAGATTCTACAGCCTATAACCAAGATGATATACTTTCTGGAAGCATGTATTAATTAAAATACAGTTGTTCAAAATTAGTCAAGCTTTAAATGGATGTTTAGTTCAGGCACAGATTTTCTGGGGGGGGGGGTGCACACCCACCCCCCAAAGGCATATGGCAACGCCCCTAAAAGATTTTGCACCCCCGCAAATTATATATATTTTGATTTGATAGTTTCATGTCTTTCATATTTGATTATTCTTACTACTAAATTTGTAAAATTACCAATATTATGGTCTCAGATCTCGCCATGCAGGCTTAGAAAACAAATTTTGTTAAACTTTTTCCTTGGCCTTTCTGGGTGTTGCCACCAGGCCCCAGCAGCAGCAACCCCCCCTCCCCCCTGATATCTATCCACCCCCCGAATGAAAATATGAAAATCCATCTCTGGTTCAGTTTCCAAAGATGTGGCTTGATACTGTGTTTTGTCACCCAGAAAGGAGAGTGTGTCATTATGGAATAAATCTGCAATAAACAAGAATAGATTAATTATACAGATTGTACAGTACAATTATCCAGGCAGGTAACATAACTTAGCATATGACCAAGGTAAATAAACCAATGTGGCCTAACTCCTCAGCTTAAATCAGAACTATGAGTGCACTTATGTAGGTATATTTTTTATTCAGAGTGATTTTTACTGAGAAAACCTGTAAGAAAACAGTGCATCCTGGAAATGAGATCACACATGCATGCCTTGGCACACACCTCAGCTAAACCTCGGCTTAGGGAAAAGTGTGATTTATCTCAAGCCTCTATAGTGACACAAAAATCAAGAAGTATCCTAACCAGAAAGCTAGCACCTCCGGCTTATAGCCTTATACTGTACATAAGTTGGTACTGACATAACACAAAACCTAAATCCCTCTTTCAAAAAGATACGTCTGTGGACTGTGGTACATGATCATAGTTTATGTCTATTTATAAAACGAGACCTCGGAGTTTTTAACATTATTACACAAGACAGTTGGCATTTTAAAGACCGTCGTATTAATACTCGTGTATGTGACTGAATATAATTTTAATATTATAATAAGCTTCGTGGGTTGTAACCAAATATTTGCGATTGTGAAATTGTGAATCACAGCTTGCTATTAAAAGTAGTGGGAAATTTTACACTTTCCCATGTGTATTGCACTGTAGGAAGCTGTTTCCTTAACAAATAGAGTGTCATTTTCATCGTTATACTTATTAATTTCATGTCAAATAAGATAAAGTGTATTAAAATAAAATTGAATATAAAAATACGTCTCTTACCTTTGTAAATCCATATTCAAGTCTCGTCTTTTGCCCACATTTCCTGAAGTTTGTCGTCTTTGATGGGCGAGAATAACACGTTCGACTTGCATATCTTTGTCCAAATGATCAAAGGTAGAAAATTTATATCGAAAAATTTTAAAAACAGATTCAAAACAATAAGAACTATGTTATCTGCTAAACTTTTTTGCAAAAACCAGGGGGGTGTGAAAACGGCCGTGGGCTCAGAATTGAGCCTGGTCAGTGGTACCTACCATGAGGATTTCGGAAGTGTTGTCATGGAAATGGCGTCATTTTCACTCAAAATCCGCCATGTTTCTGGCTTCACTTGGTTGACTGAACGAAGTATAGGAGCAGGTCCTCCAGTTATTATACAGCTCAGTGGTTTTAAGGTTTCATTGGTGGACCTCCCACTGAACTAAAAATATGGCGAATGTCAGGAGTGGGATTAATGGGATTTGAAAAATATCGATGTGAAGGCCATATATAAGTCCAAGCTTTGGACTTAATATTTCATTTTACAATAATACTCCTACTCAAGACCCTTACGTGTGAATCTTCCACAAACGAGTGTATTACGCATTCAAGTAACAAATGCCAAGTGGAAATTGGGGGACAATTTTTACATGTTTCAAACAAAAATTTTCGAGAAACGTGATTCGGGTGTCAAAGTCTTTTGACATGCCGCATGTATAGTATTAGTATGCAACTATTCCATCACACTAGAATTTCGGATGTGAAAATGTTTAATACAATATTTCGTCTAATGTATGTTATTTTTACGGACTTATACGGATCGAAATTTTTGCGAAATGAATAATTGTAGTTTTTAAGGGGCTTCTCTTCAGCAATTAGCATGAACAGGCATGCATGCATATTGCCAAGATTCGATGTTTAGGGCGCTTTCCATTAACACGGCCAGACCGGTCAGAACGGTCAAATTGTTGAATGGAACACAAAACGTTTGCGCTTCGAACCTTTCTGACCGGAACATTTGGATCAAATTAGAAAGAGGCCTATTTTCGCTAGATTTTCGAGAAACGTTGGACAGATCTTTCCATTAATACCGAGACAGAAATTCTGGCCTAACCGGTCAGGTCATTAAATGTGACTGGTGAATCCAAAGAAAACGAAACTTCTATTACTGGGTACAAGTCAAATGCTGAAAAAACTCTCTGGCACAGATTTCCATATAACTGTTCTTGGTGAGAAAATAATCCCACTTGAGACGGTTAAAGATTTGGGAATGACTTTGGATTCAAGTTTGACTTACGACAAACATATTGTCGATACCGTCTCAAAATGTATCACTGAATTATGCCAAATCAACAGAGTTAAGCATATTTTCGACAAACACACTTTATCCCTTATTATAAATGCACTGGTCTTCAGTAAAATGTATTATTGTTCCTCTGTTTGGTCGAACACCTCGAAAAAGAATATATCAAAACTCCAAAGCGTGCAGAACTTCGCGGCACGCGTTATTACTGGAATCAGAAAATATGACCATGTGACGCCTATCCTTCAGCAGTTAGCTTGGCTTCCAGTTGAGTGTATGTTAAAACTCAGGGATGCGGTTATGACATTTAAATGCATGAAAGGGTTAGCTCCGCCATACTTGTGTGACAAATTCGAAATGAGATTAAAGATCCACAGTGTTAACACCAGAAATAAGGATAAGTTAGACATTCCACTGTATAATTCGGCTTCTGGACAGCGAACGTTTCATTATCGCGCAGTGTCTATTTGGAATGAGCTCCCAAATCATATTAAAGACATTGACACTTTGGACCGGTTTAAAATAGAATATAAACGTCATTTATTGCATGGATTTTTAGAAAGTAGTTAATAGTTTTAGACAATTTGGACTTGTTTAAATTAGCATATAAACGTTTTTACTGTATGGATTTTATTAGGAAGTAGTTAATCATTTTTAAAGTGACATACTAATAATTATAAAATTTTTAATTTGTGTTTGTATGTATGTACGTATGTTTGTGGGTGTATATATATATTGTTTGTAGTATATAAATGATTTGTAATTACCTGCTGAAAAGCCCTTTTGGGAGCAGGCAATTGTAATAATAATAAAAAAATGGAAAGCGCCCATATTTACACTTGTGAGATAGGGTCTTTTTAAATGATATTCAGGTACGAAACAATGCATTCTAATTAGTGTGACAATGAAACCTATTGAAATGGCAATATGCATTCCAAGTTAATTAAGTTGGTCTATGAACGAACTATCAGACAGCAAACAATTAAACAGCATAATAAATATCAAATTACGAAAACTTCTAACAGATGTCTGTCATTTGCCGTGCTGCTAGCGCACGGCAGAAAGCGCTAGAAAAGTCTTCGCAATATTATATTAACACGAACTGGGAAATTTTTTGCATGTGACACAATTTATAACCAATCAACGCCTGCGTCGTTTACATGTGATCATATGAATTCGAGCTGGGAAAGTCCCACGATTAGTTGAAATGACGTAACTACAAACGGTTTAGAATGACGTTACGATTAAATAATTACGCATCGGTTTATAATTATATGTCTAGGTTAATCTAAAGCAACACAGGTAATGCGCAGTATCATTACTGGTGTCATCTATGTGAAGAAAAATGACGATGAAGTACGGTTACCGTGTTCCTATTTTTATCAGTGCAGCAGCGTTCTTGATCTCATTCTTCTGGGCTATTGTCGTCAATCGTGAGAAGGTTGACTCCGTGGAGGTTCTTATTTTCTGCATATTTTGCGGTTTAGATGGAATGCTTACGATTGCTTTGCCTGTGTATTTTACAAAAATTCAAGTGAAAAAATTCGTTTGTATAAACCGATTCAGTGAATGGAACCATTGGTTCTTCTTGTTTTTTTGCTCGCAATTGTTTCGCATCACAATCTTTTCGAGTGGAGGTCATGTCGAGCCCAGAATGAAAGACACAGTATTGCTCTCGCTTATCCCATCAGCACTTATACTTTGTGGTACAGACCTGGTGGACCATGGTTTCTTGCCATATTGTCCAGCGATAGTAGATATCTACGATGGGATTGAGATGTACTATACTAAATTGAATCCAACAAACCCGGTGTGGGTACAAATCACGATTTGTTTGGCTATTATCATGTTCTACATTCCTTCAGTCTTGGAACTATATCTTCTAAACTTTCCTGAATTGAAATATGGATCGATCTCGTCTGAACGAAAAGTTAAGCTTTGTCAATTCGTTTGCTGTTGTGTTTTCCTCGTTGTTCGTATGATGTTGTATGCATATAAGCCACACGAGATTATTTTTGCTGCCAAGACTTTTATAAGAGTGTACTGCCATTACAAATCATGGTCAAATATGAATTCTGCACCACAGATTGTTCCAATTCAGGTGACCGAAATCTCGACAGAATTCGAAAAAGCCTTGTCCCTCGTCAATGAAAGTCCAAGCTTGCATTATATGAATACAGGGAAATCAGGCGGCAAAACACAGAGATGCAGCGAAATACCCCTCACCTTCAGCATAAACATAAACATAACCACATATGTCTAATGAGCTTCAAAAGCGAAACAAAACATACATTTCAAAAGAAACTATTCTTTCCGCTTTGTCTTGTCATGGTCAGTATTTCTTTTGTAATTGTACAGTCTTGTACATAATTTATTTTACTCGTATAATGCAAATGTTATTGTTGGCCACAAGAATCATTGAACATTGAAGCCGATCGAGATCGAAATAATTAATACTGTTTAATTAGGGATTTAATAGGGAATGCAAGGTATAATAGCAATCGGCTAGAAAATACAATCCATTAAACTCAATATGAATATATGGATACATGTTGAGTTATCTGTGTCTGTACAGGTAGTGTCAAATAGAAAGGTTCGATTGATATAGAGATACAACTACCGCAAAAATACAAGATAACTACGTTCAAATGACTAACTAAGTTCACTGGCTTCCCGACGAAGGGCCTTCCCTCGAGACGTCGAAGTTCTCCTTGTATTTTTCAGGTAGTTGTATTCTATCAATCAGAAGCTTTCTTGTTTGCATGCATGGGCGATGTTTTTTTATTTTGGATTATTTTATGGCGTGTACGTATGTTAACCCAGGTTTTCCATGAGTCCATGACATGAAAATGTAGACCAGTTTGCTCGGAATACATCTAAAAAATACATCTAGAATAGGGTTCAAGAGGTTGACTCCGTGTCAATATTGATTATTGGTATTTCATTTTGAATAAATTCAACATGACTAGAGGTGCAGAAGGAAAAATAGTCCATTTAACAAAAGAAACATTGTTGTGAAAAATTATTGAAGAATCATAAATGTTTTCATGGGCTTGCTACAGATAATCATGTTATATATTTAGTTCAGATGCGCAAGGACAGTTTATAGTTGGGCAAATGCTTTGCATGTTGTTATGATATATGAGAAGTGCCGAACGATAATCAGCTTTGCCGAGACTTAATACCTTACAATAAAAACAAATCTAGGTATTTAAACAATACAGGCTATGCCGAGATGCCGAGGGGTGTATTAATACTCTGCACAAAGCGTACGAGACGTTTTGCGATTTCGAAATACCTGCAATATATCCATGCATCACGTGTAGGGATTTTGTGATTTTCTGTGAATATTAAAAGACATTTTGACTTGATTTTCGGTATTTGCATAGAGATTTTGCGGAGTTTGGAAACGATTTTTGGATCGTCAGGGATTTTACGGCAATTTTAGGGATATTGTGGGGATTTTTCGACAAATTTCGGCAAGATTCCGGGATTGTTTTGGGACATTTTTTTAATTTCTGAGGAAGTACATTAAACATTTCCTACTATTCATGAGGTACAAATCGCACAATGGCGCCAAAATTAGTTGAATCGATTTTCGGGTGATGTCCGTTGCATGAAAAAAACGTCGCTTTCTTAAGCTCACAAATTGTAAATAATTATATGTAGTTATCTAATGTAAAAGTAAAATATATTTAGTTTATAGCTCAAAAATCGTTAGTGACATAAAGAACACAAAAGGCGGAAGTAGATATTACAAGATGTGTTCATGCGCATCGCTTCTTTGTAAATATTATGTTGATGTGCAATAAAGAATTTGAAAATACATTGAACAGTTGATATGACGATAACATCCAAATACAATCCGATTCAAAATGGCCGTTCCGGAAATCGCATGTTCCCACCATGCACGGGAATTGAGTGCAAAACTGTTGTCTGGGCGTTGAGATTATTCTCATACGAAAGTCGCACTTGCCGACAACATTTGAGCCACTATAACTAATACTTCTTTTCTCAAAATATTTCTTTTCCGGGCATTGAATTTTTCATTCACTTTTGGGCTTTTGGCAAACGTATACCGCAATAGACCTTTCTTATAATGACGTCAAACGCAGAAAAACACTTATTAGCGATGTCCCAAGGAACAATGCAAATGATGTTTTTATGAAATTTATTGGCTTGCCAACGACTTGCATTGACCTATGAGACATCGCATAAATTGGTTTTCCCCATTTGACATCATTATAAGAAAGGTCTATTCGTTACATTTTCCTTAATATCTTCTCGTAAATGTCATCAAATTTTTCCTATAACTATTACTTTTTAATCAGTATCACTCGAATATTTTAGTTCTTTCCCTTCTTATCCAATTCATCTTTTGCTTTATACTACGAAAAAAATTTGCCGACAAAAATTCGCCATTTTGGAGTCCGGGTCAGGTTTTTCTCGAATCCGGATTTTCCGTCCGGAGTCCGAGTCCTTTTCGGAGTATGCCCTATGAATAAACTAGAGCAAACGTTAAACAAAACAACATCAAATATCAAATTACGAAAACTTCTAACAGATGTGAGCGCAAGGCAGATAGCGCTTGAAGAATCTTCGCAAATTAAAATATTATACCATTAATACCAACACAGAGAAACATGAACTGGGAAAATAACATGAACTGAACATGAACTGCGAAATATTTCATGAACTAACATGAACTGGGAAATTTTACATGTGACACAATTTATAACCAATCAACGCCTGCGTCGTTTACATGTGATCGTATGATTTCGAGCTGGGAAAGTCCAACGATCAGTTGAAATGACGTAACTACGTTTTTGTCAGTCTACAGCAACACAGGTAATGCGCAGTATCATTTCTGGTGTTTCTATGCGAAGAAAAATGGCGGTAAAATTTGGTTACAGTGTTCCTATGGCTATTTTTATCAGCGCAGCTCCGATCTTGGTCTCACTCTGCTTGACTATTGTAGTCGTAGTCATTTTTGAGAAGCCAGATGCCATGTCAGTGGTTCTTGCTGTCATAAAAGCGGGTATACCTGCCACAATTACGATTGTTTTCCCTGTGTATTTTGTACAAATTCAAACGGAAGGAGCTAGTCGTCAGTCCCGATTCAGTGAATGGAACCAGTGGTTTTTCTTCTACATTTGCTCGCATTTTATTGTCATCACAATCTTATGGAGAGGAGATCATGACAAGGTCACACTAATTATAGGACTCTCACTTATGCCATTATATCTTATACTTTGTGGTATTGATATGGTGGACCATGGTTTGTTGCCATATTGTCCAGCGATAGTAGATATCTACGATGGGATTGAGATGTACTATACCAAATTGAATCCAACAAACCCGGAGTGGGTGCAAATCACGATTTTTTTGGCTGTTATCATGTTCTACATTCCTTCAGTCATGGAAATATATCATCTAAAATTTCCTGAATTGAAAAGTGGATCGATGTCGTCTGAACGAAAAGTTAAGCTCTCTCAGTTCGTTTGCAGTTGTATTTTCCTCGTTGTTCGCATAATGTTGTATGCGTATAAGCCACACGAGATTATTTTTGCTGCCAAGACTTTTATAAGAGTGTACTGCCATTACAAAGCATGGTCAAATATGAATTCTGCACGACAGAGTGTTTCAATTCAGGCGACCGGAATCTCGACAGAAAAAGCCTTGTCCCTCGTCATTGAAGGTCCAAGCTTGTATTATATGAATACAGGGAAATCAGGCGGCAAAACACAGAGATGCTACGAAGTTCCCCTAACTTGCAGCATAAACATAAACATAACCACATACACCTAATGAGCTTTAATTAAAAGGGAAACAAAACATACATTCCAAAAGAAACTATTTCCGCTTTGTCTTGTCATGGTCAGTATTTCTTTTGTAATTGTACAGTCTTGTACATAATTATCTCACTCGTGTAAAGCAAATTTTATTGTTGGCTACAAGAATCATTGAACATTGAAGCCGATCGAGATCGAAAGAATTAATACTGTTTAATTAAGGATTTAAAATAGGGAATGCAAGGTATTATTAATAGCAATCAGCTAGAAAATACAATCCATTAAACTCAACATGTATATATATGTATGCATGGATGCATGTTAAATGGTCTGTGCCTGTAGGTAATGCCAATAAAAAGAAAGTTTTGTATTGATAGAGATACAATTACCTTAGCCTGCGTGGCAGGCCCTCAATTTTATGGGGGGGGGGGCTGATTTGCAGCTGGCAGAGAATCCTCCCCCGTGCCCGCCAAAATCCTGCCCGCTGCAAATCAGGCTTCCTATAAAATTGAGCATTTGAGGGCCTGGAAGATACAATTACTGGAAAAATACAAGATAACTAAGTTTAAGTGACTAACTAAGTTCACTGACTTCCGACGAAGGGCCTTCGCTCGAAAGGTCGAAGTTCTCCTTGTATTGTTCTGGTAGTTGTATCTATATTAATCTGAGGCTTTCTTATATGCATGCATCTATGGGCGATAGTTTTTCATGTTGGATTCTTTTATGGCGTGTGTATGTTTATGTTAACCCAGGCTTTCCATATGATGTGAAAATGTAGACGAGTTTGCCCGGAATTTGATATTTTTAACATACATCTATAGAATAGGGTTCAAGAGGTTGACTCCATGTCAATATTGGTATTTCATTTTGAATAAATTCAACATGACTGTAGAGGTGCAGAAGGAAAAATAGTCCATTTAACAAAAGAAACATTGTTGTGAAAAATTATTGTAGCATCATGAATGTTTTCATGAACCTGCTACAGATAATCATGTTATATATTTAGTTTAGATCCGCAAGTACAGTTTATATAGTTGGGCAAACACTTTGCATGTTTATGATGTATGAAAAGTGCCGAATGATAATCAGCTTTGTCGAGAGTAGCCTGCTTAAACGTCTGCTTTGCGCAGGCTATGCCGAGAGGTGTTTAATTATTATAAATACTCTGAAAAAAGCGTACGAGAAGTTTTGTGATTTCAAAATCCTTGCAATATATCCATGCATGCAGAGATTTTGTGGTTTTCCGTGAATATTAAAGGAATTTTGGCTTGATTTTCGGGGTTTAGAGGGAATTTTGCGGCGTTTGGAAACGATTTTCGGATTGTCAGGGATTTTACGGCAATTGTAGGAATATTGTGGGGATTTTTCGACAAATTTTGGGAAGATTCCGGTTTGTTTTTGGAGATTTTTTAAATTTCTGAGGAAGTACCTTAGCTACTATGAGTGAGGCACAATGACGCCTTAAATCGATTTTCGGGTGATGTCTGTTGCATGACAAAAACGTCGCTTGCTTTAGCTCACAAATTGTAAATAATTATATAAAAAAACTTTCGGAAATTTTGACCTAAAAGAGGGCTAAAAACACTCTTTAAAAATAGTTTTATGTATATGCGACGGAGCACACATTTGGAATTCTATACCAAAAGAAATTCGAGAAAGCAAGTCACTTTCTTCCTTTCGAAATAAAATCGCTGCTGACATTAGTGCTTGGTAACTTTTGTAAATATAATTTACCTGTAAATAGCTCAAAACATTTGTTATATCTTGTAAAGATATATATTACTGTAAATAGCTTAGCTTATCATTTTCATATTTTACATGTAAAATAATTTTCTGGCACACGCCCCCCGTGGAAATCAGCTACGGTTGACGGGGTCCGCATGCATAAATAAAGTTCTTCTACTACTAATACTACTACATATATGCGAATTTAGCTCAGCTTGTCATGGAGTTTCACTATTATACTAGATTTCTGATCACTTTTCGCAGCGTGGTTCCCAAGTTTGTTGCGAATATTCCCAATTACGTTTCTAAATTTGGAATATTGGGCGTGGAACGTTTTACCGTGGAGTTTTAACCTGACTGAAAACCAAGAAGATAATAACGCTTGCGCCTCGCCCATTTAGGGTCTCCGAATAATTGACTTTATAATTAGACTTTGTACATATACTGTAGTGGACCCTAATAAAGACAATAATAATAACGAACCGAAATCTAGTACGCGGACGTGACCAAAAGACACTTACTTTTTATGCTTTTCTTTTGGAATTGTTACCAGTTTAACTTTGTTTTTCACCTGTATCCTTCTTTGTTGACAAAAATAATTCATATTTTTTACCCGTGTTTTTGACACTGCGAATTTAGTGTGGCTTTTTGTCACGTCCGCGTCCCTATAGATTTACCACATATTACGACTTAAGCTCTCTAATAGTGTAACAAACAGTTTGCGAAGTTCGCCTGTCAAGTAATCAAATTCCACGCCCAATATTCCAAATGAGTTAGAAACGTAATTGGGAATATTCACAACAAACTTGGGAAACGCGCTTCGCAGCTGGAAATGCTGAGCTGAAATGCTGAATGTTGAGAATGCAATATTCTGCACGCATTGTGAACATTCCGCATTTTCCAACACTTTGTATTTCCTTCACTCCGCATAATAGTTTTAACGACACTCATTTGCCGTGTTCATACCGGATATTGAAAAGCGAGAGAAAATTGTCGCGAAATTCACCGTGTGGTTATGATTCATTGACATTCGTTCTTTAGAAATATGATTTCTATATTTTATTGTCTTTTATTGTCTTTTATTGTGCTAATCAACCAATCGCAAAGCCTGTTCATATAGGAAGGAACCGCGAGCCCATCCAAGGAATAGAGACATTTTACAGTGACGAAATTTAAACAATCAAACGGCTTGCGTCCTGAAACGACGTTACTAAAAATTATATATTCTTTGAAAAATTTACACGTGATACAATTTGACCAATAAACGCTTGCGTCGTGTACAGCCACCCAGTATACGGATGCATGATATCTGGGAAAGTTCTACAATCAGTTGGAATGACGTAACTACACTGAAACGATTTAAAATGTCGTATCGATTACATAATATAATGAGCTTCTATATTTCACCTTATTTGGGTTAGTTTTAAGGCTAGAGCACAGTTAACCAGGAGAACAATGTCGAAAATGTCGTGGAAATACATAATAATCATGATTGCTTGGGCTATAGTTAGTATAACAGCCCCGGCATTGACCTCGATCTACTTAAATTTTGATATCGCCAAAGATATCATCAAGTATGATCCCATGTACTTTTTATATCGTGTATTCATTGGCCCAGTTGTTATGGTCATTATTCTGGCTTTTTTTTACGTGCAATTTGGTCTGCAAGCGATTCTGTCGAAACTGTATCAATATAACCATTGGTGTGTGGTGCTTCTATACTTGGGTTTGATTTTAAATACAATCTGGCTTGGATATGAAATCCTGACTGAAACGACGACACCTATTTACCCTCTCGAGATCAAAAGTCTACCAATAATGGTATTGTTACTTGGTCCAATACACCTTCTGTGTGTTATTTACCAAAGGGGGAAAAGTCTGCAGCCATATTTCCTGGCGATATTAGATATCTACGATGGCATTGAGATGCTCGCGACGAAGCTGAATTCATCAATCCCGGTGTGGGTGCAAATCACGGTCTTATTGGCTGTTATTACGTTCTACATTTCTTCATTGCTGGAAGTATATTATCTCAGATTTCCCAGATCGATCCTTTCAGAACGAGCGGTCAAGCTTGATCAACTCGTTTCCAATTGTATCTTCTTCCTTCTTTACGTATTGCTGTTGGCGTACAACCCACATGAATATGTTCTCGTTATCAAGGCTATTATAAGAGTGTGCTACCATTACAAAACACTTTTAGATCTGCATCATCATGCCCCTCGCCAATCTAGGCCTATATTACATGTGTGAGATAAGCGGAATATAAGGAAAGATGAAGACAAAACAAAGAGGTGGAATGAATTGCCGCGATATAATAAAGTTTCTACATACTGCCATAAGCACATGCATTGGCATACGCCACTTTAAGTAGAGCTAATAGAGGCATTTCAAAATAAATTTCTTTTTGCTTCTCTTTTCCCTCTTTGTTAAGTCTCCGAGGTCAATGTTTCGTTTGTATTCCTGCTTTTGCTTATCTCATTCGTGCATGTAAAGCAAGCAAGCTTTATTCTTGCATCTTGGTCATAAGAATGATTGAGTGTCGTTGGATGGCTTTTTAAATTACTAATAGTGTTCATCATGCAAGGTAGAGAATGATATAACATAAAAAGCCAGCAAGTATTGTATATATACATGAGAAAAAAAAACATTATATAGACCGGCAAGTATTGCTATATTTAATGGCGGCAGAAAATGCGATCAGTTATACATATAGCTCGATTTATTGGAATTTTAATCCGCTACATGACTGAACGTGCATATATGTAGCTATTTTATTAAATCAGGCTATCTTTTATATAAATAAAGATTCGCGTAATTTGCAGGCAATTTGATCTTTTCAAAACACAGCCGTACGTATATAGGGGTCAAAAGGGTTTATAGTACCCTAGCCATTTTTAGTAAATTGAACATGATTACAGGACAGGTGATATCAAATGCAACTTGTTGAAACAAAATACTATATACAGACATTAGCCATGTCATAACAATTGTAATGTTACTGTAATATATGTATACTGTCGCAAGCCAGATATATAGTTTGTGCAATTACGTTGGCAACGTTGCATGTTATTGTGATCTGCCAATTAGGAATAATCGGCTTTATAGCTGCGCGAACTTGCCCGAACGCAGAACGCTGCATTCTTAATGATTTGCAGAGACGCATTTTATGGTAATTTTGGCGCGGAAGTCCACATGGCGTTTATGGTAGTTGTATACAATATAACAATATACATAGTTCTTTAATATTTTTGCACAAGTGAATATGACAAATCCTACAAGTTCATTGATTAAATTTGACGTATTAAGCTGTTATATTCACCTATAGGTGAATATAACAAAATCGAAATTTGCAAAATGGCGGCTAGCCGTTTTGTGAAAGTTACTGATAAAGAAATAAGCGAAATTAAAATAAACACAGTCGCAAAAAACACAAAAGACTTGTGTAAAAATACTAAATCAATTATCGGTGAATATTCCCCGATAATCACCTCGCCTTCGGCAAATAATTGTTAAATAATCTATAAGAATTAAGGAATGTGTAATAAGTATAGTCTGAAAATCGTTAGTGACATAAACTACAAAAGACGTACCTCGCTACCTTGTAAATACTTTGTTGATTTTCATTAAAGAACTGTAAAATACAATGTCAATGTACAGTTCATCTGACGATAACCGAAATCTTTAGTCCAAAGTAAATCACAACCATATTAGAGGGTCCTGAAGGGG